TGTTAGATTCTCAAAGAAGTCTTGATCCCCCAAATGCTTAATGGGCTTTGCTTGAGAGGCAGTGTGGTGGAGAGCAGAGGGCTCCCAGGCTCTGTGTCTGGAGCGTGGCCACCAACGTAGGTGTCTTTGATAAGCCCTGATCTTTTCAGTAGTTTCACCTTCAAAGGAGATTTGGTGGTAAGTGAGGGATTGGAGGAGGTGAACTGTGAAAGCTTTCCAGCTCTAATGTCTAAGACATTCAGCCTCTGGTCCAGCCTGGGGAGACAAGTGTGAATAGGGATTTCTTGGGGATCAGATTCCTCTTGATCTGAGAACTTTCTGATGGGTTGATGTGTCCCACTCCTCTACTGACTATGCCTGGGTGGAGCGCAACACCCACATACCCCAGGCAAACAACAGAGATGGGGGGAAGAGGATCTTCCTGGTGGGACTTGAGGCTGGGCTCAAAATACCTCACATTCCTTTCTTGCCCCACTGATCTTCCTAATATTCTTAACGGACTCTTACGTATGTGTGTGTCAGGGGTGAGTGTGTGTGTGCAGCAGGACTGAACGTGTACTGGTATGTGGTGGGGGGAAGTGTCAGAGCACTGTGTACATGGGTATTTGTATAGAAGCAGGCAGTATGTCTGGCTGTGGATGGTTTTAAGTAGGGAGTGTCTACATCTAGGGGAGTTACACCTAGTGTGTATAAGTGTGTGTAGTGTCTAAGTGTGGGTTTATGGAGATGGGTATAGTGTGTCTGAGTGTATAAACAGGTGTGTGAGCAGCTGTAGGTGTGAGTGTGATTTGTGTATTTGGTACATGTATGTACTAGTGGGTAGGTAGTGCAGAGGCTTGCTGTATGTACATATGTGTCTTTGTAGCTGTGTAGTTTCCATGTGGCTCTGTGCAGATATGCAATGGTGTGTGTGGTTCTGTGTCTCCATGGGTGTTTGCCCCTGTGTGTATAGGCTGGTGGGGTGTGCTGTCCATAGCATGAGTGCACCCATATTGTGCACACGTGTTGATGCCAGGAGGTGAGGGTGGGGCTGGGTGGTGGCAAGAGAAAGGCCTGATTGGGCCTGATGGCTGAGGGTTTGCAAGTGGCACGCTCATCACAGGAGGTACAGATGGCAGCATTATTTTCTCAGCAGGCTATTCTGGGTGGGAACAAGATGCTGGGAACAAGCTCAGCCTCATATCTGATGCAGAGATGAGCTATCCCTCCTGACAGATCCAGAGCTCAGGCCCTCCTTGCTGTGTGTGTGCATGTGTGTGTGTGTAATTGTGAACCTACACTAGAGAAGGGGAGAAGGCATGTGTATACATGCGCCTGTGTGTGACTGTGAGCCTATGCTGGGGGACAGGAGGAAGCATGTGTGTGCCTGTGTGTGTGTGTGTGCCTGCGAGTCTGTGCTGGAGGAGGGAAGGAGGCATATGTATGTGCCTCTGTGTGTGTGTGTGAGTATGCCTTTGAGTCAGTGCTGGGTGTGTATATATGTGTGTGTGTGTGCCTGTGAACCTATGCTGAAGGAGGGGAGGAAGCATGTGTGTGTGTATGTGTGTGTGCACACATGAGTGTGCCTGTGAGTCTATGCTGGAGGAGGGGAGGAGGCATAAGTGTGAATGTACGTGTGTGTCTGTGTGTGCACCTGTGTGAGTGTGACTGTGAGCTTATGCTAGAAGAGGGGAGGAGGCGTGTGTGTGTGTGTATGCGCGTGGCTGTTAGCTTATGCTGGAAGAGGCATGTCCTGAGTCCTTTTTTGGAAATAAAAGCCAGAGCTAGCTGGCCAAGGGTGAGGGGTCCAGATCTCAGGTGTATGGTCTTAGCAGGGCTCTTGCTCAGTCTCTATCCACAGTGACCTCTGAGGCCTGAGTGACAGCCACATAACCCAGCTGGGACCAAGGCGTGGTCCAGTCCCAGCCTCCTGGGAGAAGTGCAGAACACTCAAGTGGCTCCTGGAAATACCAGCTGGGCCCTGGGTCCCTGATATAGTGTCAAAAACTATCTGTGGACCTCCCTGGCCTATGGGCATTATCATATGTAGCCATCACAAAGTGGCTTTATTATATTCATTTTACAGATGAGAGACCTGAAGTTCAATGAGGTGGAGCTGCTCACCCACATTCTCACAGCTGGTATACATCAGCCCTTGAACTTAAAGCAGCTCTCTCCTCTGTACCTCCAGGTAAAAGGCAGCGGTCCCTCCCAGAATGCCTCTCTCACCTTTCTCAGCTCATGGAGGGAACAACAGCTATTTTTCCCTACAGGGAACAGGTATCATATCCTTTCTTGAGAGTGCGGATTGGGAGAAGGGCCTGCGAGTCAGGTGCTTTAAATATCTACCCTTAGGGTTCTTGTGATTTTGTGTTGGGGTTGGGTTTAAATGAACTCCCTGCTTCCACTGTGTGCTGATGTGGTCAAGGGAGCTGATGGGAACTTGTTTGGGTTTTTGGGGTGGCCTGCATGGCACTGGTCCAGATGGGTGCTATTAGTGGCTAGGGATCAGAGGAACTCTTGGGGAGAAGCCATTTGAGGCCCTCTCTCCTTCCTCTTTTATCTGGTTCTAAGTTAGGATGGTTGCATATTTGTTTGTGAAGTAAGCCTGAGCTCCAAGAAGTCCCAGGGTGCAACTGGGCATTGAGGGGCCACAATGGTCCTGGTATCTACTGACTGTTCTGCAAACCCCCAGGAGTCTGAGCTCTTTGGAAACATCACTAGAGGTTTGTGGACATCTAGGGAGGAGCAGCCTTTCTTTTGTATTTGGACAAGGACTCTCAGTCTGGGGAGCGACACCTATCCTTGCCAGGTGGGAGCTCCACTGGGGTCCCTCACTGTGCCCTTTGCCTTGTGACCACCATAGCTCTGACTTCTCTCCATCTGGCAGCACTTTTCTCCTTCCATGGGCCCAGGACTCTGACTCCAACCTGGGGGCAAAAGACCAAGATCATGGAATCCAAGAGGGCAGAGCTGGAAAGGCTCTGAGAAACGTTTAAGGTCACCCCCCTCACTGCATAGACTGAGGCCTAGATTGGGGAATGTGCTGGCCTAAGAACCTGGCGTAGGACCCAGTCCTCCTGACTTCTGGTCAGGTGTTCTGACTGCTGTACTATGCTGGGGGTTTCCTCATCCTGGGACAGTAGTAGTGCAAGGAAAGAGGGAATAATTAGAAAATTAAAAGGCTAGACTCATCAGGAGGCTTATATATCTATCTGCCTGCTTGCCTGCCCACCTACCTGCTTACCCTCCCTCCCTCCCACCCCCATGAGAGGTGGAAATGTTTGCAGTAGATATCCCAACTTACCAAGTAAGGCAGCAACTTCATACGCCTTCTTCTGTTCAATTGTCTCATAATTGAGAGCTTCAAAAAATATATCCAGAACAAGGATGTTCTCTCTGCAGAGAGAATATTCAGCACCATAAATGGTTAGAACCATCAGGATCCACAGGGATCACCTAACACCACATTCCCACGAAAAGATGGAAAAACTAAAGCCAAGGAAGTGAAACAACTGGCCCACAGCGAGAGCTGGTTCGTGGCAGAGCTGGACATTGAAGCCGAATCCTGACTCCCAGTGCGGGGCTCCTTCCAGGACTGCAGATAAGTAGCTACTGTCCCCTTTTGCCTTTTATTTCTAGGGCCCCCCCCCCATCTCTTCTCACCCTTCCCAGGAATCCTGCCAGGACTTTAAATCTTTGGGCCCCAAAGGGTCTGCCTGACTCCTTAGCATGAAGGTGGGCTTAGAATTTCCTGACAAGCCCTGCCTTGGCTGCCTTAGCTGATCTTTCAGGCTGCCCCTGCCCACTCCTGAAAGCCTCCAAATTCCTACTGGGATTTATAACAAGCCTCACCTAGAGGGAGGCCCTTCCCTGGCATTGCCAAGCCAACTGCCAGAGTCAGGGGGGGTTTTATGGGAGCAAACCCATCTCTGCTGGGGGTTTTCTAGCAGAAGCACTTTGGTTCTCCTTCGCTCCTCTAGGCAGGTGAGTTAATGAGACACATCTTGGCAGTAAAAGTCATTACTGCCTGCAGAATGCCTGCTAAGCAGAAGGGCCTGGCACCTCCTACAATTCTTTACCTCCTCTGATGCTGCTCACAACACCCACGATGCCCCTTGTTCTCAACCTGCTGAGCAAAAGCTGTCCCAGGATGGGGTTTGGTGAGTGTGTTGGCAGGAGGGAGTGGCTGGGGAGAGGGAGCAAATCCTCCTCTCTCCACACAGGACTCGCAGAGGTGCCATTCAAAGTATTACCATCTCTTGCTGGGTTTATGGCCACTGCTTCCTAACAGGCTCCCTTCCTCCTATCTAGCTTCCCAAGCCTCCTCTATACTGCCGCCTGAAGGATCTTCCTAAAAGAGCTTCCTAAATTCATTCAGATGAAATAAAATTAAAATTCAGTTCCTCAGTCACATGTTTCAAATGCTCAATAGTCACACGTGGCTTTGTTGTTGTCAACTGCCATCAAATCATCCTCTGGATCGTGGTAATTTCGTGCACAACAGAAGGAAACATTGCTTGGTCCTGGGTCATCCCTATAGTCAGCTGCATATCGGATCATTGTGATCCATAGGGGTTCCATTAGCTGATTTTCATAAGTAGATCACCAGGTCTTTCTTTCTTGCCTCTCTTAGCACAGTAGCTCTGCTAAAAACTGTCCAGCCTCACAGCAACACACAGCCTGCATTGACAGATGATGGGTGGCATTCTGCATATGAGGTGTATTGGCTGGGAACTGAACTTAGGTCTCCTGGACCTAAGTGAGAATTCTACCACTGCACCACCAGTGGGTACCGTATTGGACTTTGCAGATCTAGAACATTTCCATCATTGCAGAAATTTCCATTGAAGAGCATTGGTTTACAATATATATTTGAGCCTGTCACCTGTTTAAAGCTCTTTAGTGGCTTCCTAGTCTCTTAGTGTACCCCTACCACCCCCCTTGCTCTGACTTATGTCCACCTCATCCAGCTTTCCCTTTGTAATTCTCTTGCCTGCCCTGTTCTGGTTCACTCTGCTGAACCTCTGTCCAGGACACCCTCTTCTCTCATTATTTCTTTCATTTATTCTGCCAAAAGATTCTATTTGAGCACTAACTCTGTGCCAGACATGCTGCTAGTACTTGGTAGGCAGCAGAGAAAACACACACACACACGTGTGCACACGTGCGCGTGCACACACACACACATGTTCCTGCCTTCAGGGAGCTTTCAATCCAGCAGATAATAAACAAGTAAAGACATCCACAAATACATAATCACACACTGTGCTGTTACAAAGGAAAACTCCAGTGTACTTTGAGAGAAAGTAACAGGAGGGGGCCTAAGTTAGCTCTCCCAGGCGATAACATTTAAATGGAGACGTGAGCAATGAGGAACCAGTTAGGTGAAGAATAGAAGGAAAAGCATTTTACACAGAGGAAACAGAATGAGCCAGGTTTGCCTGGAAAAATTCCCATGGTCTTTAAAACAAAATCTCTGTTGCTTTCCTTGACCTCATGCCCCTGCAAACTGCAGCCAACTTTTCACTCTTCCCCACTCATTTCTATATCACTTGTATCACCCAATAAGTATTCCATTGTATGCTTGTCTTGTCTCCCCACAAGACTGTAAGCTGTGTCTCAGTCATCTTTGTTTTGTATTCTGAGTGCTAAGAAGTAAGCCTGGCACAAGTAAGTACTCAATTAATGCCTGCTAAGTTGAACTAAGAGGGCACTGGTGGTTCTGTGGTAGAATTGTCCCCTTCCATGTGGAAGACCTGGGTTCAGGCCCCAGCCAGGGCACCTCATGTGGCTTGTGTGCGGTGATGCTCAGCAGGTGTCAGTGGAGCTTCTAGACTAAGATGGAGTAGGAAGAAAGGCCTGGAGACTTACTTCTGAAAATCAGCCAATGAAAATCCAACAAATCAGTCAAAATCATAAAAAAAGGAAAATAAAAGACCAGGTTTGCTGGTCTGATAGACCTTGGTGAGACCCCTGAGACTATGGCCCCTAGCTACTCTTCAGGTCTGGAACTGAACTCACTCCTGTGGCTTCCAGCCAAACAATAGACAGGCATATGGGGTGAACATTTATATCAGGTAGATAACACTACTTGGAGCCATCAATCATGGGAGAACAGAAGGGCAGTGTTTGCACAGGGAGACAGCTGGGGGAGGGGAGTGTATGGGAGGGAAGGACCCAGGGAAGAGGTAACTATGGGGAGGAAGTGGGAGGAGAGCTGTTAACATTGTAGGGAATTGCAGTCAATGTCTTGAGACAAAGTATATGTGAACTGCTGTATGGAAAATGAATTTGCTCTGTAAACTTTCACCCAAATCACAATCAAAAGAAAAAGGAAAAGGAAATCCAGTGAATCACAGTGGTCAGATCCTGCTCGTGGGGGTAACACAGGACCAGGCAGCATTTTGTATCACTGCACAGGGTCACCATAAGTTAGGGGCTGCCTCGACAACAGCTAACAACAACAACAAATTGACCTAGCTGCTTACCCCTGCCCTTCTCGATCGCCCCTAACCTGTCCTTATCCATCCCCCTTCTCTCTGCCATGTTCGGTGGGTCTCCAACCCATTTACTTCCTACCCCTGCTCACCATGCCCACTTAGCTTACGAGATATATTTTTCAGATTTGTTAAATTTCTTCTCGAGGTACTTGGCTGACGTCTTGCTGGGGATCTTCACCATGGAGAGCTCTTTGTTGTAGCGGGTCAGGTTGCAGGGGGTCCTGCAGAGACAGTAACTACTGTCCTTTTCAGCTAGCAGACCTGGAGGGGAGAGGGAGGCGGGGCTTAGTAAGGTGTGGGTCCAGGCACTGCTGGCCCAGAGGAGTTGGGTTCTAGCCACAGAGAAGTGAGCTGGGAGGAGGTGCCAGTCCAGAATAAGAGAGGCCTGGGACACCGGGGAGAGGAAGAGAGCTGGGCTTTGGGTGGAGGATGAAGATGTGAGCTCATAACATACTGCATGCTCTTTCTATGTTACTCTTGGTCTTCCATCCTTTAAACATTATTGAAAAGGCACCACTTGTAGAGAATGAACTCCATGTGAGTCTTCTCTCTGCTTCCCAGGGCCCTCAACTTTGGCCCTTGCCTCAGTGATCTCATCCACAAAGTGGGCCACCAATCAGGGGCAAACGATGCAGGAGACCATTTTGCCTGAAGTCCAGTGCTCCATAGGATTCCCTCTGCCCACCTCCTCTGCCTGTTTGGTTAGGCAGTGGGCTAAGACTAACCATTCCTTTCTCTGTCCCACGTCCAGAACCCTTCCCTCTCTCTCTCTCTCACTCTCTCATCTTTCTAGTTAGGAGGAGCAGTTAAGAACAATTTTCCTCCTTCCCTTTCTCTTTCTTCTAACCATGTCACCGTTTCTGGCTACTCTTGGGTTTCATTGAGTCTTTACTCCAAAGAGAGGCCAGGTCTTTGTCAACATCAGAAGCGAGCCCTTCCTCTCAGCTAGATTTTCCCTCTTTAGTCTCCCAGAGACATCTGGACCTGAGTGCAGAGCTGCTCCCACATGGCTCCTGCAAGTGCAGGTGCTGAATAGGCATCCACATTGTTTAAAAATCCTCTCTGCCTGTCTTGTTTATCAATCATTTTGAGGGTCTGGAGGGCAGCGGCAGTGTGAAGCATGTGGAGCTTTGGGACTGCAGTGTGTTTGTGAGGTCTCCCTCCTGCTCAGCTTTCTAGGGATGGGCACCCATGGAGTGATTCCAATTCCAAGCCCCCCACCAGGCCAGCATGTGGAGGGGAGGGGAAGAGCACAGTGTGCTCCATTTGCTTGCGTGGAATGCAGGGGGTTTCTACCTTCCTGGGCTAATGGGAAAGGCAGGACCTCCCTGGAATGAATGCCCACAGTGGGGGCAGGGAGCTGCTTCTGGTGCCCACACCACTCCTCATTGTCCACCTTGTTTCCATGTCTCCCTCCATCCCTCACACCCTCTGTTCTGCCTGAAGTCCACTACTTCTCATCTCTCCCCCATACCTCCTCCTCTCTGCCAGCCCTCATCCTTCCCTCCTTCCCCCTCTCCATCTCCCTGCAGTGCCTCCACCCTGCCCAGCCCTCATCCCCTCTCTCTGTTCCTCTTTCCATCTGATCTCTTTTCCCACACCTAGATCATCTCAGTCTCAAGACAGCCTCTTCCCTATGACATGATTCCATGCCAGGACTCACCTAGGGCAGGCTCTGCACACTCCTTGTGCTGCTCAGGGGTACAGAAAGGGGCGTCCCCTGTAAAGAAGAAGCATGAGGGAAAGTTGCTTAGGCAGAATCCAGTGTGCCAGCAATACCTCCCCTCCTGGGCTTGACTGAGTGCATCCCATTATCTGAGAGGGGCAGGAGTCCGCTAGCAGACATGTCAGAAGGGAGCCATTGATCAGAACTTCCTAGGGGGCAGGGGAGGACAGAACAACACTATACCTGGGGTCAGAAGATTAGGCTCTGATCCAGCCCTGTCCCTCACTCATTTGCTCTATGCCCTAAGCTGAGGTTGACAGGACCTGCCTGGCTAACTTCTCCTAGATTTCTGGGGAGGCCCAACAAGTCTGTGTTATCTTGACAACTGAAAGTTGGAGGTGGTGGTAAGCACCTACTGGACATGCATCACTTCCTCTTGCACAGGTACTCTTTCAGGTAGAAAACAGTATATATCTGTCTTACTTATGAGTGACTTGAGCCGTAAGCATCCTGCCATGCCTGGAGAGCAGAGCTAATAAGTGATGGGGGTGGAGTTTGAACCCATCAGTCTGATGCCAAGGCTGGGGCTCTTCCCACCCCAGCCCTCTGCTTCAGGAGAGTGACAATTGCTTTGAGTATCCTCATTGTTTTGGCCATAACCCAACATTAGTCATAGAGGTGCCACTAACAGTGTCATAGGTGGAATGATTAGAACCTTGATTGTTTGTCTTGGGCTCAGCGGGGGAAGCCTCACTGGCTGATGCCAGGTATGAGTAACAGGTGAGTAACACACTACACTGACTGGGTAACTGAGTATCTGCTGAGGTGTCTTTGTAGACATTCAGGATCTTTTTGTCTTTTTTCAAGTGCTAAAATAAAAGTCCACCACAATGTCACTGCCTCCCCATTTTCCCAAAAAGCTTTCACAGAGCTGAAGAGCTGATTGATATGTTTCCTCCTTTCTAATAATAACAAGTTAACTGACATGTTTCCCTTTTTGCTCTTTCAAGAAGCTCAGAGGCAATTTTAACAACCAACAGCACAATTTGAGATTATGAAAGAAATTATGGTTACTAATGGAATTTACTTATGAGGATGTTCATTACAGTATTAATCATAATAGCAAAAACATTGGTCATGAACTAAATGTCCAATATGAAGATTTAATTAATTAAGTTAAATAAAGTGTGGTAATAACCATGCACAGTAGTTAAGGTTGTGTGTCAGCTTGGCTGGGCCGTGGTTTGGAGTAGCTGGGCAGCTGGATGTACTAATTCCCCATGATGAGATTGGTAATCATCTCCACGGGGAAATTCGTGTGAGCAGCTAAGTAGCTGCCATTGGGGGTGTGGCCTGCTTCCAGTATATAAGTGAAGCTTTGCGAACTGTCTGGCATGTTTGGATCCTGTGTTTGGCTGAGTCTTCATCTCAGTGGCCTGCCAGGTTGCCTGCTGACCTTGGGATTGCTCCTGGACTTGAACTAATGGCCTGCTGTGTTGTCTGCTGATCTTGGGAGTATGCCATTTTACTTGTGGATCTTGGGTTCTTCCGCTTCAGCAGCCAGCAGCTGTGTGAATCAGAAAAAGCCTCCGGCTCTAGTGGAGCTGGAATAGGAAGCAAAGCTGAAGCCCAACATCAAGGGGCTTTCACCCAGCTCTTGATCTGGCACACTGAATTTGAACTTCTATCGTCCTAAACTGTAAGAGAATGAATTCCTGTTTTTTAAAGCCATCCTTTTGTGCCATGTCTGTTACGGCAGCTCTAGAGAACCAAGACACCATGAGATATAATTCTTGTCGTTATGTGCCATTGAGTCAGATCCAACTTGTGTTGCCTAGGCAGTATCACTATGGAAGTAGATTGCCCAACGTTCCTTCTGAGGAGGGGCTGGTGTGTTTGAACCGCCAGCCTTCTGGTTAGCAGTCAAGCACCTTAGGCACTAGTAACCATTAAATATAATAGCAAAGTTTCTGGCACATAGTAGTTCTTCAGTCAACATGACCTTTGGTCACCTCTCCAAATATGCTAACACAATATCCTCTGACTTTAGCAGTTTACAAAACATTTTTATATCTTGTTGTTGTTTGTTGTTATTTGCCATAGAGTCGGCCCCGACTCCTAGTGACCCCTCCTTGGGTTTCACTCCTAGCGACCTCTCCTTGGGTTTCCGAGGCAGTTATCACTACAGAAGTAGGATTGCCCAACCTTCCTTCCGAGGAGTGGCTGGTGGGTTTGAACTGCCAGCCTCCTGGTTAGCAGTCAAGTGCCT